TGCGCGGCGTGAGGGGGAGTGGGTGGCTGGCTAGCCCGGCTGGGAAGTTCCCTTCTAGCTGCAGGGCAGATGCACCCAATGAGCCAAGGGTTCCAGAACGGACAGCACAGGTCAGACTAACCGGCTAGTAATGAACAGGAGCAAGGTCCCAGCTCAGCCCCAAAAGAGAGAGCCCATTTCCCCTGCCCCTGGGCCTGCCCCAGCTGCTGGCACTGCTGGGAATGAAGGAAGGGAGAGACACACCAGCCTTCAGCTTCCTGAAGGGAGGTTCCAAAGAGGCTGTAGAAAGGCTGTTCTCAGTAGTGACAGATGGCAGAACAAGGAGCAATGGTCTCAAGTTGCAGTGGGGGAGGTCCAGGGTGGATATTAGGAAAAACTATTTCCCTAGGAGAGTGGTGAAGCACTGGAATGGGTTCCCTAGGGAAGTAGTGGAGTCTCCATCCCTAGAGGTGTTTAAATCTCGGCTTGACAAAGCCCTGGCCGGGTTGATTTAAGTGGGATTGGTCCTGCCTAGAGCTGGGGGCTGGACTTGATGACCTTCAGAGGTCTCTTCCAGCTCTATGGTTCTATGATTCTAGAACAGGTATCCCACAGAGAGGCCTGTGCTGCTGTGCCCGTCACCCAGCCTCAGATCTCCTATTACTGGGCTGTGTGGTCCCTTTGCAGCACTGATGCACAAGTGTGTTCCTTTGGGGGGAGGGGTTGGCAGGGGCACAGATACTCTGTTCAGTCGAGGCCCAAGTTTACAGTAGAAGGCGGGAAAATATGACAGGAGTCTACGCTGCCCTTTTTTGCGCAAAAATACCCCTCTTGCGCAGGAGCCATTCTTCCTGAAAATAAGCAGCAGAACGGCTCTGCGCAAGAGATTTTTTTTTGCACAAAAACCTGTGCCACAAAAATGGTGGCTCATTTGGTATGCAAATGAGGCACAGCAATATTCATCCCCATGCCTCATTTGCATCTCTTATTGCACAACAATGCACAGTGTAGACGTAGCCATAGTGTTCCACCCAAGCAGTGCTAACACAATGGCCGAGGGCATGAGGTTCACTAGCATGCAGGGGCTGAACACACAGTGCTATGAGAAATCTTCCACCCATGGAGCACCTGTAGGGACTCTAACACAAGAAACTATTTCTTCTCTTTCGCCTTCTTCTTCTCCTCCTCCTCCTTCTTCTTCTTCTTCTCCTCCTTCTCTTTCTTCTTCTCCTCCTCCTCCTCCTTCTTCTTCTTCTTCTCCTCCTTCTCTTTCTTCTTCTCCTCCTCCTCCTCCTTCTTCTTCTTCTTCTCCTCCTTCTCTTTCTTCTTCTCCTCCTCCTCCTCCTTCTTCTTCTTCTTCTCCTCCTTCTCTTTCTTCTTCTCCTCCTCCTCCTCCTTCTTCTTCTTCTTCTCCTCCTTCTCTTTCTTCTTCTCCTCCTCCTCCTCCTTCTTCTTCTTCTTCTCCTCCTTCTCTTTCTTCTTCTCCTCCTCCTCCTCCTTCTTCTTCTTCTTCTCCTCCTTCTCTTTCTTCTTCTCCTCCTCCTCCTCCTTCTTCTTCTTCTTCTCCTCCTTCTCTTTCTTCTTCTCCTCCTCCTCCTCCTTCTTCTTCTTCTTCTCCTCCTTCTCTTTCTTCTTCTCCTCCTCCTCCTCCTTCTTCTTCTTCTTCTCCTCCTTCTCTTTCTTCTTCTCCTCCTCCTCCTCCTTCTTCTTCTTCTTCTCCTCCTCCTTCTCTTTCTTCTTCTCCTCCTCTTCCTCCTTCTTCTTCTTCTCCTCCTCCTCCTTCTTCTTCTTCTTCTCCTCCTCCTTCCTCTTTTTCTTCTCCTCCTTCTCATTCTTCTCCTCCTGCTTCTCCTCTTTCTCCTTTTCCTGCTTTTTCTCTTTCACCTTCTTCTCCAGAGACTCTGAAATGGGGAAGAGAAAATAATCAAACCAAGAGACATGCTCAGTGATGTGTGTGCCCCAGAATGACGGCAGTTAATGACAGACACTCCCAGCCCCAGGAACCAGCAGCTTTCACAGCAACGGGGCTGGCAGTTTGCGATAGACATCAACAGGCAGGAGCCCTGGGATTTGCAGAGCATCTCACCTTATTGGAGATAGGAGTGTGGATCGTGACACAGCTCTGACATTCTCAACCCTTCTGTCTCTGGGGAATTCCTTGTCTGTGTAACTAGCAGCTCTGCAGCCCCCTGGAGCATCAACGCTCCACACTCCAGGGGCAAGTGGGGGATGAACGTGCTGATGACTGGAGCTCACAGCTGGCATCTGCCTTGGCTACAAAGCATGGAAACATGAACCATGTTCTGGGACATGGCCCAGAAGAGCCTGCAGTGCCGCAGTCACCTAGAGAAAGTGGCTGGCTCCCTTCCCTGCATCAGAACAAAGTGACTGGCACTGGCCAGACAAAGGCAGGTGACCCCATGTGTCTATCCAGACAGGAGAGCAGGTAACTCTGTGGCTGCTGCATGGAGTGTCTGTAAAGTGATTTCAGCCTGAACTCAACACTCAGCCCTGCCCTGTGGTGTAGGGGCTGCTGGATCTGCTCAGCACCCTGGGGCTGGGAGCTTCGGCTTGGATGCTCTACTGGGGAGGTGGATGAACTTACCAAGTATCTCACGCAGCTTCTGGTACTCTGGGGAGAGAGGAAAAGGGGACAATCGTGAATCCAGCCTGGGTCAGTCCAAGCACAGTCACACGGGGCTTTTCTGTGCTGTGGGCACAGCTACACTGCCGCTGGGACAGAGCTTCCCAGGTTGGGCAGGCAGACGTGAGCTGGAGCTGCTGTGCTAAAAGCCACAGAGCAGCCAGGAGTAGCTGCACAAGTCCAAACTACCTTGGCCCCAGGGCATGTATCTGAGCAGCCCGACTCAGACACT